AAGAGGCAATTCCTTAGCGATAGAGGAGTTACAGTCAGTGGAGAGCGAGAAGAGGGTAGGGAAGGCCTTGCACAACGGTGAAGTACCAAGCTAGAGGTCCGTCCAGAACTTAACTCTGATGCCAACTCTAGCGTGGAATCTAATGTGCCTTCTGAACAGTGGTAGGGAAGAAGCTAAAGACAACCACACTCCAGACGCCCTCTGTTTTTTAATGCTCTTTGGTACCCAAATATCATCTTGGATCTTGTATTTTTTGTGCAATATTTGAGCCCAGAGAGCATTCGGTTGGGTGGCCAGGTGCCACCACCATTTTCCTAAAAGAGTTGTGTTATGCTTTCTGAGGATTCGAATCCCTAAGCCCCCTTGTTTTCTTGGTAGGCAGGTGTTATCCCAAGCTACTAGGTGAAATTTTTTCTTCTCTGCCTGGCCTGACCAAAGAAATTTCGCATGAGTTGTTCTATGCGGTTGGCCACCTGTGTCGGCATTTGGAATAGGGACATGAAATATACTGGAATGTTTGCTAGGGAAGCCTTGATCAAGGTTACTTTGCCTGCAGGTGAGAGATATCTACCTTTCCAGGTGGCTAGGCGTCTTTCAACTTTGTCAAGCACCTGGGACCAAAGTCTTTTTTTGGGTTTCCCTAGCTCCAGAGGAGGACCAAGGAAGTGGAGGGGAGATCTTTCACTTTGCAGTTCCAGTCTGGAATAAGGGCAACGCCCGTCATTTTGGATTTTCTCATGTTGACTTTGAACCCTGTAGCTATCTGGAAGCACTGGAGAAAGAGTTTGAGGGTGTCGATCTCCTCTCGGGTGGCGTCTAGGAAAACTAGGGTGTCATCTGCGTATTGCAGGTGTGACACTAAGGGACCTTGGTTGCTAGTGGTGAAGCCAGAGGAGACCAGACTGGTAGAGGTGGGAGAGGGATCTTGAGAAGACTTTAGCGGCTATGGCAAAGAGGAATGGGGAGAGGGGGTCCCCTTGGCGGAGCCCCCTATGAGTCGGGAAGAAACCTTTCGGAGATCCATTAATGAGGATGGATAGATGGGGGTTGGAGTAACATCCCCTCATCCACCTTCTCCAACGATCTCTGAAGCCCATCCTCGACATGGTTTCATCCAAGATAGACCAGTCTATGTGATTGTAGGCTTTCTCCCAGTCTATTTTGAAAATTAAATCTGGTTTCTTAGCTAGGTGTCTAGAGTAAAGACACTCATTAGCTACCAGGACCCCATCAAAGATCTGCCTATCTTGGATAAAAGCAGATTGGGAAGGAGAGATGATTGTTGGGAGGACTTTTTGGAGTCTTGAGGCTAGGACTTTAGCCAGAATTTTGTAGGGGGAATTCAGGAGGCTAATAGGTCGAAAGTCCTTGATTTCCTCAGCCCCTTCGATTTTAGGCACCAGGGATATGAAGGTGGCATTTATGGCTTTGTGAATGATTCCCCTATGAAAGAATTCCTGGAAGAAATTGAGGAAGTCGAGACGGAAGGTGCTTCAAAAAATTTTGAAAGGGGCGATTGGGAATCCATCAGAGCCTGGGGCTTTGTCAACAACGAGGGCTTTAAGAGCTTGAAGGATCTCCTCCTCAAAGAAAGGTTGTTCCAATGAAGCTGCTAAGTCCTCACTCAAAGTCAGGAAGGTAAGATCATCCATTCTAGGCCTCTGGCCAGTGGGTTGAGACTAAAGAGATTGGAAAAATTCTGTGATGGCCTGCTCGATTTGTAGTGGTTGTGTCAAAAAGCTATTGTTGACTTTGAGCACCGAGATGGTGTTGTCCCTTCGGCGACATTTTGCTAATTGGTGAAAAAAAGCTGTGTTTTGATCGCCTGTTTTTAACCACTTTACCCAGGATCTTTGGAACCAATAGATCTCTTCCTTTTTGAGGGTGGATAGGTAATCGAGTTTGGATTGGGTCCTGAGGTTTAGGTCCGAGTCATCAAGGGCTCTGGATTCTTGCAGATGGTCGAGGCGTTGGATAATATCCAAGAGAAGTGATTTGGTTTGAGAGAAGTTGCCAGGTAAGATTTTGCTCCAGGTTTTGTGGGAGGCTTTAAGGAGCTGGATTTTAGTTTGAAGTTTGTGTCCAGCTCTACCCCTGACCTAAAGCGAGAAAGAGTCCCACCAGATGGGTATCTGAGAATGGAGAGAGGCTTCTTCCAGCCAAAGAAGTTCAAATCTAAAAGGTTTTGGGCCTCTTAGTATGGCATTGGTATCCAAGAGAATGGGACAATGGTCCGTAGTAGGTTTGGGTAGCATTAAGGCTTGGGACCTTGGGAAGTGTTGATCCCATTCGGTAGAGAAGAGGAAACGGTCAAGTTTGGAGAGGGAAGGGCTAGAAGAGTGGTTAGACCACGTGAATAGGCTGCCTTGGAGAGGAATGTCCATGAGTGCATTCCTGTTGATGAAATCCGCGAAGTCCCTCATGTCTTGGGAAATGGAAGAGGTATTTCGCTCATGGGACCATCTAGTGACGTTGAAGTCTCCTCCCAAACATCAGGAAGGATTAGGAAGAGCTGCAACGTGGTCCAATTCAGCCCAAAAACTGTGGCTGACGGAAGATGAATTTGGGTCATAAACGGCCGTGAATTTCCAAGGGGAACCATCGGTCAAGGTGGAAAGGAGGATTGTGACCGAGAAGTCTCCTACATATGAGGAGATGAGGTTGTGTTCTAGCGGGTTCTAGATAACCCAAATGCCTCCTGACGCGCCCACAGCCGGCAGAGCCATCCACTGGGAAGGTTATTTTCCCCAGATTTGACGGATGAGCTGCAAATTGGGCTCTGGTCGTTTAGTTTCAATGAGGGCCAGAACTGAGGGGGAGTACTTGAGAGAAATATCTCTGACAACATTCTTCTTAGACTGGTGACCCAGTCCCCTAATGTTCCATGTTACAATCTTCATGGGAGAGAAGAGGGGGGTGGGGATGAGGCCAGTTTGGAGGACCTCCTAGGGAAGGAGATAGGGAGGAAGGCAGGGGAGACTCAGGATGGCTTGTCCTGGAAAGAGGGGGAGGGAAAAAGGCTGAGCAGTTCTCTATGTCCCTTGGGTCTTACCTTGAGCCTGTTGTGCGCGTCTGTGGTAATGAACTTGTGGCTTGGACCTTCTAGGCCGTCATGGTGAAATCCCATGATTCTGTACATTTCTTTCATCTTGTCTTCGATGTTAGAGTTCTTGCCATCAACTGCCTCATCCTCCCTTTGGCTGGGACCTTCTGCTAGGGATGGGGGATTGGGATTAGGCTGACTTGGGTCACAAGGGAAGTCCCCGAATTGGTGTGGCTGCGACTCAGGGCTAAAGGGAGGATAGAGGTCGGGGGGTAAAGGAGGGAGTGGTTCATGAGGTGACCCAGGTGCTGAAATGGGCTGAGTCTCCTGAGTGTAGTGGACGCAGGGGGACCCCTCGAGTGGGGATGGGGGAGAGTCTGGTCTACTGGGGATAGGTCCAAGAGAGGAAAATGCTCCTGGTAGGGGTAGGGCAGGTGGACAGGCGAGCTGAAAGCCTGTTAGGTGTCAGGGTTGAGAGGCCAAGGGATGAGCGAAAGGGGAGAGGGAGGTAGGCAAGGTAATGGTAGGTCTGGACGGAGGAGAGGGTAGCGAAAAGGGTAGAGTGGTAAGAGGGCCAATTGAAGTGAAGGGAGTTGACTCTGGTGGAACTAGCCAGATGGGGGGTATAGGAGAGAAAGGGGGCCAACATGGAGGAAAGGGAGTCAGTATCCGGGGGTGGGAGGTCCCAGGTTTGGGTGGTCACGATGCCTTGGGGAAGGAGGTTACGGTCCATAAGAGATAGTTGAGAAGGGTCAGTAGGTTCCTTAGGGGTATGGAGAGGCAGTGAGAAGTCAGAAAGGCGAAGAGGGAGGTAGGTTATAGAGATGGGGGGGAAAGGAGGGTGCAGCGACGAAGAGTGCAGCTAATTGGAGGGGGAAGAGGAGCTCCGAGGCAACGAAGGAGATTCCTTTGCAGTCTCTAGCTGGGAGAGGTAAGGGCTAGTGAAGCCGGGGTTGATGAGAGTGGGGCAAGGGAGTAGGGGAGGGGTCAGCGAGAGAGGTAGGTTAGAGGGGGAAGCAGGCAAGGTCAAGTTGTCGGCGAAGGGAGAAGTCAGGGGCGGCTCAGGTGACAGGTGTGGAGGGGGGATGCTCGAGGAGGACGGGTGGCTGGGTGCGTTGGTCGATGTGGGAGGGCGACAGCAGGTAGGAGGGAGGATCTCGAGGAGGGAGGGGAAAAGACGAGGGGGTAGGTGAGTGGTGTCGGACAGCACCGAACACATCAGTGGGCTGGAAGGAGCCTCGTATGACGTGTGTCCAGGGAGGGGAGGGTCTGCCACGTGTGCCGGGGAGGGAGAAAATAAATGGTCTGTCCAAGCAGGGCTCTATGTATCATGAACAAAATAAATGTCATTTCCATTTGGTAGCCGAAAGATTCAGGGAAGCAGCCTATGAAAGATTGAATTGACAGTCAATGGCCATATCTAAATGCATACACACAATTGACAGTCTTCTTTTAAAATCTATGAATTGGCCCATTTTCCTGCTTTAGATTAAAAGAAGACTGTCTTTATCCTTGTGAACTTTGCAATCTTTTTGAATATATCTTGCAATTGTGTGTATGCATTTAGATATTGCAGTTGACTGTCAATCCAATATGTCATGGGCAGCTTCCTTGAATCTTCGGCTACCAAATGGAAATGACATTTATTTCTTTCATGATACATATAGCCCTGCTTGGACAGGCCATATGTTGGGAGGAGGACTTTCTTTTCCTCTAGATGTGTAAAACTGAAAATTGCTTAACAAATAAGGCACTGTCAAAATTTTTTTCGCTTTGCTATTCACCAGTGATGGGCATCATGTAAACCTGCTTATCAAATAATGCACTGCCAAAGTGTCTTGTGAACTTTCCAAAAAAATTCCTATTTTCCTGACATTTAGAAATAACTCCCTCGTTGGAGTTGTTCAGCCCTTGTATACTTTTGTGGATTTTTTAACTTTTTTATGTTCATTTGCAGTTCATGATGTGCTGGGGTTATCAGATGCCAAGTTTCAGAGCCTCTACCATTTTACAATGGGAAGTCCTGTAATTGATGGACGGATAATGAATCTTCTTGCTTACCCTGGCCCTGAAATAGATGCGTGATATGTAATGTTGCTTGGAGGTGGGACTACGCATCTATAAGTGTATATCCTTATTGTACAGACTTCATAAAGCATAATATAATTTGAAGGTTTTGGAATTTGAGGTGCCATTTATCTATTTATTAAATGAGGAATTTATGCTAATATCCCCCAAATTAGCATTGCTAAAGAAAACCCCTAAAAATTTTGAGCTTATCTTGATCCCTTTCTTTTTAACACAACCCCAACCCCCCACCCCAAATTGCCCTTATTGGATCTTGAAGGTCTTAAGTCATATACCTATTACTTTGACTTCGGTCCTCAAGGTCCAAAATACTTCTTCTTTTCCGTCAACTTCGGATCTTCAATGATGACTTGGGATGAAGGTGGGACTTGAGGTCACGCTATGGACTATAATTAGTTTCTTGAAGCATTTGTTTATTTATGGGATTGTATACAATGAGACCATTTACCTTTGGAATAGGGAAGTCACAATTACTTACAACCATCCAATGTGAAATCTGATAGTTTGGGTGTGTCACAAAGTTCGAGAAAAATTCTTTTGAACATTGAACTTGGTAAATGAAATAAATGCAGCCACCCAATTTCACATCCAATGGTCAAGATTTCTTGTGACCACTTTGTACCAAAGGTAAATGGTCTCATTATATACTTTCCCTTTATTAAAAGGGTAACATTCCTCATAAAGTTGTTCTTAAATAGTGGCAAAATCATCAGCATCTCTATCATTGTTTCTTGTTTGGCATTTATTTATTTATTAAGGGCACATTTGATAATCGAAAATTCCAGCTTCCAAAGCTGAAACTTCTACTTTATTGGTGATCTTCCTAGTTTGATAACTAGATGTTCTACAGTAAAATTCTAAGTTGGAAGTCTGGGCTCCTCAAATATAAAGGACCCCAAGCTTCTATACCACGTCGGAGGTAAACTTCAAGAAATGCGCATCCCCCACTTTTAACCGTGATTGTTTCACCATCACTCTCTCATGCACTTTATCTCAACTACCTCCCTCCCTCTTCTCTCATCTCTTCTCCCTGCCATTCTCTCTCTCTCTCTCTCTCCTGAGCCACTCCCACCTCTCCTGCTTCACCTCCCTGGTTTACTCACCCCCCCCTCCCCACCTCTCTTTTTCTGAGCTCCAACACCCTTCTCACTCTAAACTCTCTCTCCGCTGTTTTCTCTCTCTACTCTCTACCTAAAGAACCTTCTCTCTCTCTCTCTCACTTGATACCCTAGGTCCTCTCTCTATGCAGAAAAACCTCTCTATCTTTCTACACTTAGAGGCTCTCTTTACCGAGAGAAGCCCACTCAGCACTGTAATCTCTCCCTTTTTACTCAAAGAAGCTCCCAAAGCAAGAAGCCACAAAATGAGGAGTAGCTCTCCATCTCTAGCCAGCAAGCAAGAAACCTCTCTCTATATTTCTAGAGTCTGATCTAAGCTCTCTCTATGTAGCACATTTTCAGTTATGAGTCCCTTGTTGTTGTTAAAGAAAATGTGTTTCTAAATATTTGCCAAATAAGGGCCCAAATTTTGCTTTATTTATTTTCTTCTTCTAACCTACTTAAAATGTGTTTTAAAAAGAACTAATGCTTTTTGCAGAAAAAAGAAAGAGCCACTTGAATGGAGAGACAAGTGGCTATTGAGAGGCAACACTTGGCCAATCTCTTTCTACAAGTGTCTCTCATTTTTCCTTTTGCAGTTATATATGGGAAAAGGTTTTGGGGAGGCTAGGGTACCTTTCTACGAACTCACTCTCTTTTTAAAACCTCTTTCTCTCTCTTAGGCTTCCTTGTGAGCTAGGTACAAGGGACATGTCTCTCATCTCTATGAGAGCCCTCCAGTCTCACGAGATAAATTACAGCACCGTGTTGCATCTCACAGTAGTTTCTCTCTCTAGATTATTTCTTAACCATTGTTTTGCAGCAAGCTTATCTTCCCTCGTATACAATATGTTCATGGAAAGCTCATTCTCAGCCAGTTTCTCTCTTTAAAAAGGCTACAAAACTGAGCCTGTAAATCTCTACAAATTTGGTGAGTTTGTTCCAAGTTTTATGTTCATATTTTGCATCTGAAATAGAATTTGAAATTAGAGAAGTGTTGTATGAGCAAGGAAAAAATTATTGGGCATCATTTTATTTTGTTGTAGTGATTTATACTGGGTTTTTGATGAGTATATGCTTGATGGAAGTTACATTGGGGTAGCTTAGAAGAGATTTACAATAGTTGCAATCGATCTTGAGATTTGATTCCTTTGTGAATAATAAAGTTAATGATCTTTGTGCATCTCTTTTGAGTTTTAAAGAAATTTACAGTAAGCTTTTGTGACTGTTTTGATAAGAGTTGCATGCCATATGTTTGTTCATATTTCTTGTTGAGTTCTAAACCGAACTTGTATGTTACTTTAGTCTTATTTAAGTCTGAAAACTAAAAGGATCCATTGTTTTTGGGCCAACAATTGATATCAGAGCATAGGGGTTTTCAATTTGTATAAAAAAGGCCTAATCCTAAAGCTGTATTGACTAATTTAGTAAAGATTGATAAGCTTGATGGCTATAATTTCTCACTTTGGAAAAGGAAAGTGTCATATTTTCTGCATATTAAGGATATGTTGTATGTAATTGAAGAAGAAATCGTATTCTTCTACACTTAGAGAGAGGCAAAGATACTTAAAATGGAAGAATGATAATTTTACATGTAAGAGTGCTATCTTGAATTGCCTTAGTTTTATATTGCATAACATTGACCCTACACTAATGTTAAAGACTTATGGAAGGCCATTGAGAAAAGGCACACCGAGGACAATCATATGGCAAAACATGAACTCTATGAAAGATATAACCAACACAAAATAAGAGAACCCATCGGTGCTGGAATTTTTTGATGACATGATTGTAATGGCTAATCAACTTGCCAGTTATGGAGAACCCATATAATAGAAAACCATCCTAATTCATGGAAAGACCTTAAGAAAAACTTGTGCCACAATGGTATACCTTGATGATTTAAGAGGACATCTTAGGATGAAAGAGAGTGATAGGGCCCAAGAGAAAAATAAGAGAGCCCAACAGCAGGTTTATTTGGCTACTAAAAAAGGGTCAACTAGACCTAATCATAAGAAGAGAAACGAAAATAAAGAAACCAAGGAGGAAACAAAGAAAGAAGATAGCAAAAAACGAATTTTTTTAAAAATTTGAGAAGATGTTTTCATTGTAATAAACTTGGTCACATTACCAAATTTTGTAGGGCTCCACCAAAGAAGATGGAGAGAGGAGAATCCAGTCACCCAAAAGATGTTACATTCCTGGTAGAATAGTTTCTCATGGTCACCCCCATCCAATGGTTGGTGGATGGATTCGGGTGCAACAAGGTATATCACCAAAAGCAATGAGCACATGGTGGACTTTAGAGAGAAGAAGGTTGGTGATTGGAAGCTCCGTATGGGAAATTCCTCTGAGGTCCACATACTTGGTGAGGCGACCGTGAAGCTTCCTCTTCTTAGTGGGGGTACTCTTACCCTCAATAATGTCCTCTATGCCCCTGACATGAGGCATAACGTCATTTCTTTGTCTAAGGTAGATAAGAATGGGGTTGAAGGGAATGTAAGAAGGGGGAAAATGACTTTTCTTAAGGATAGTGTAGAAGTGGATAACGCATCTCTTTGTGGCAGGCAGTTTGTATAAGCTTGAGATTAATGAAATGAAACCATCTGCGTCTTATATTGTTGGTTCTTCTTTCCAAGAAAGCTTTAATATATGGCATAGAAGATTAAGACACATTGGCTATGAAAAGTTGTCTAGAATGATGAAAGAGGAATTAATTCCTTATGAAGAAAATTATAAATGATGTTTAAAAGGAATGCATAAAAAACCATTCCCAAAGGGATTAAGGGTTGAAAGCATTCTACACGTAGTCCATACTGATATTTGTAGAACATTAAATGCCAAAACCTTTAAAGGACATAAATATTTTATTATTTCCATTGATGATTATTCATGATATATATATATATATATATATATATATATATATATAGAAGCTTTAGAAAAATTTAAAGAATATAGGATGGAGGTAGATTATCAACTAGATAGAAAGATTAAAATTTTGAGAAGTATAGAGGTGGAGAATATATGTCACTTGAGGTCGAAAACTTTTGTAAGGAACATGGGATCATTAGACAATGCACACTCCCTTATACACCCCAACAGAATGGTATGGATGAAAAAAAAATATGACCTTACTAGAGATGGTTAATTGTATGATACAAGAAGTTAATATATCTTACCAATTTTAGGGAGAAGCTTTGTTAGCCTCAACTTATATATTAAATAGAGTACCAAACAAATCTACAAGTAGAACCCCTTTTGAATTATGGTTTAATAGAAAATCTAATTTAGATTACATTAGAGTTTGTGGTTGTCTAGCTCATGTCCATAACCGAAATAGAGAAAAACTTGGACCTAAAACAATTAAATGCACTTGTGTTGGGTACTCCAGTCACTTGAAAGGTTATAGATTCTATGATCATGAGACTAAGACTATCATAGAAAGAAGAGATGCTCATTTCTTTGAGGATGAAGAAATGCCGAAAGGAAAACACCCTAAAATTATAGAAATAGGAGAAGAAGAAATTGGACAACCTAGTAATTCCTATGAGAGCGCTAGTAGTGTTAACCGTATTTCTATTGCGATAGAGCCTACGAGAAGTACTAGGGAAACTGCTGCAGGGAGAATAATAAATCAGAAAAATTAAAATATAGAATAAAAAGATTTGAGGGAATATACCCTCTCTCAAGGTCTACAAGGGAATCTCTTCATTAGACCCAAATTCTTTGCTCAAATCCAATCTCTGTTGTTTACAATGAGGGACTTCTTCCCTTTAACTACACTTAGAAGATAAATAAATAAATAAAACGACTCACAAAAAATAAACTCTCCCTTATCTCTTTATCTCGAACTCTCACGTAAGTCTATCTCAATCTATCTCTCTACATCTCATGTTATCTTCTTTTTCTAAAAGATAATAAAAGATAATTCCTACTTTTCTTGATAGAAGCTATTTTCTAAACCAAAAGATAGGCATTCTTGAGTGGCAACTCATGC